GTGCCTCTTTGGAAGCTGAGCTGGAACTGCTGCTGAAGGCTGGGCATGGGGCTGCATACAACAAAGGGATGCTCCCAAAGGGAAGTTTTTGGGGTGACCTAATTGTGGCCTTGCAGTACCTGAAGGGAGCTGACAGGAAAGATGGAGAGAGACTATTTACAAAGGCCTGGAGTGACAGGACAAGGGGGAATGGCTTCACACTGACAAAGAGTAGGTTTAAATTGGATATTGGGAAGAAATTCTTCCCTGTGAGGGTGGGGAGGCCCTGGCACAGGTTGCCCAGAGAAGCTGTGGCTGCTCCAGCCCTGGAATTGTTCAAGGCCAGGTTGGATGGGGCTTGGAGCAACCTGGGCTAGTGGGAGGTGTCCCTGCCTGTGGCAGGGAGTTGGAATGAGATGATATTTAAGGTCCCTTCCAACTCAGATCATCCTGTGATGCCTGGAAGTGTTCAAGGCCAGGTTAGGTGGAGCTCTGAGCCACCTGTTCTAGTGGAAGGTGTCCCTGTCCACAGCAGGGGTGTTGGAGCTGGATGATCTTGAAGGTCCCTTCCAGCCCAGGCCATTTTATGATTCTGTGACTGTTCTGGGACCTGGTTCAGCTGTGACATGTTATTCAAATGCTTGAAAGTTGCTCCTGGTTGCTCCACATGGAGCTTAGCATTGTGGAGAAACTCATCCAGGGTCACCTGGTGCCACAAGCTCCCTTCTGCTCTGCCTGTGGATCCACACACACCTCCAGCCCACCCCGAGCACATTGGAGTGTCTACTCCTCTCCAGGTCCCACTGATCTGAGGGTAGGGATGGCAACATTCTACTCTCAAACCAGCTGGAGGCTTGGATGCCAGCTGGGAAAGCAGCTCCAAGCCTGGCAGTGAAATTCTCCATGTGCCAGCCCGTGCCCCGCTGTCACACCAACGCATGGCACAGCGACTGCGCTGGGTGGCAGGAGCTGGCCGGGCTCTCACCAGCTGAACTCAGCTCCTGGACAGACTGGGTTTGATGCTCAGGGCCTGGGATTGCACACACAGAGCAAACACCAGTGGTACTGGTGGGCTGAAATTGGGTTGTTCCTCCTGCTCCTGGCAAGCAAAACTTTGCCTCCTGAGTGCCTGGTTGTACCATTCCAGGGGACTCCTCCAGAGCCTCTCCTCCTGAAAGGCAGGCTGTGGGTCTGGAAAACGGAGGTTTGGAGGAGCTGTTAACTGTGGGATAGGCTGTTGCTTTTTAGATAGTGCCCCTGGTTAAGGAGAATAGTCCTGCTGGGAATGGATAAGGTTCTTCCAAGGGTTTGTGTTTTATCTGCTGTGCAGAGGGTGCTGCTCAAGTTTATCTCTGTGCAGCTCTCCGTGCTCTAATTATGCATCACTGAACCATTGCTTCAGGGCGGGGCTGGTTTTGCACTTTTAAGAATATTTTAGAATATTTTTTTTCCCCCTTGATGTTGTGTTTTTCCCTAAGAGGGATTTCCCCTTCCCCCACTCAAAAGGAAAAACAAACAGGATTATCCTTATGGGCTTCTTTCAGAATTTTCAGACCATCTCTTTTAAGAATTCAAATCTAGAATATGCAGTTCTAATAAGGTTTAAATTCTCTTTGGTCATTGAATTTATTACCTGAGTGAAAACCCAAAGCAGAGCTGAGACTTTCCCTCTAGACCCAGAAGGGGGGTGGATAAAGGCAATTCAGTTTTGCTTCTTGGTTTGAACAGGCCAGATCTGTCCCAAAATCAGGCACATCATCCATGGAGTTTGGAGTGAGAGATGCTTTTAGCTGACGTGTACAATGCATGAAGAAGAAAAAGGGAGAGAAAGGAGTTCAGCATCCACTGGAGAGGTGTAAAATGTCCTTACAGATGACATTCCTGGTGAATGGGTATGATTCCATGGCCTGTGTGTTTGAAATCCTGCTGGGAGAGCTTTGCAGCTTAGAGATAATGGTTGTGGCTCACTCCTACTTACCCACTGGATCGCTTTGTCTGCTTAATGTTATTTATTTGCTTATCTGGTGCTGATGAAATTTCATCAGCCCTGTTGTAATGGGTTTAAATCTCAGCCCTGCCAGGCCTCGGAGGGCAGGCTGTAGGGAATGCTTCCCAATGCCTTGGGAGAAAGGCATCTGTTGAGTGGACATTTCTGCAGCTAAAAGATGCTGTGGGAACCATGTGGGAGCAGGATCACAGAATCATGAAATGGTTTGGGTTGGGAGGGACCTTAAAGATTCCCACCCCCTGCCATGGGCAGGGACACCTCCCACTAGCCCAGGTTGCTCCAAGCCCCATCCAACCTGGCCTTGAACACTTCCAGGGCTGGGGCAGCCACAGCTCCCCTGGGCAACCTGTGCCAGGGCCTCCCCACCCTCCCAGGGAGGAATTTCTTTCTAATATCCAATCTAAACCTACTCTTTGTCAGTGTGAGGCCATTCCCCCTTGTCCCATCACTCCATGCCCTTGGCAATACCCTCTCTCCCTCCCTGCCCCTTGGCCAGTTTGAGGTGGTTGATTCCCCACCACTGGTGCTGCTCACAGTGGCTCAGGCACAGAGGGGACTCTGCTCCTCTGCTGCAGGACATTGTGCTTCATCTGCTGGGAGATGCTCCTGCTCTCCCACAGAGACATCACCTCCCACAAGCCCAGACATCACCCCCCAAAATCCCTGTGTCCCAATGAAAGAGCACCCGGGGTGTTCCATGAGCTGCAACCGGGTTGAGGTGCTCTCAGCGTCCCACTGAGTGGTTTTTTGATGGATCTTTGTGCCTCACAGTCATGTTTTTTGCCTTGTAGCAGAAAGGCAGCTCTTTCTCTCCCACCTCTGAAAAATTAACGGCTGCATCCTCCCGAGCCCACCCCGGCTCGGAGGCAGCTGAATCCCGTGTGGAGCACAGTGGGAGCAGGGGCTGGCCAGGAGCAGCACAGACAGATGACAGGATCACCTGCTTCCCTGCACAACACCCAGCCATTCCTTTGTGCTGGAAAGCCCTGGCACTGGCAGGGCAGCGGGAAGCACTGACAGCCTTTGCTGAATCACGGCCGCTGCTGCGGTGCCAGGGCTGCACCCCTGCTAAATGCAGTATTCCCAGGAAAAGTGGAAGGTCTTCCCTGTGTCGAGTGCTGTCCATGGAGCCAGCAGATAAACCTCTGACAGGTTATGTGAGCTCACTAGCTGTCAAACAGAGTCCTCTCTGGATGGTGTCCCAGGAAATTCTTGTCCAGAGGCAAGAAAGGACTAAGTGTGGCTTCCCGGGGAGACTGGGGGAGACACGAACTGCTCTTCTCCAAAAAACCCGTGGGAGGAAGAGAGGGAAGGAGGCAGAGTAAGGAGACAGCCTCATCTAAATGCAGCACAGCAGATTGGAGAGTGGTTTGCTCTGGATGAGCAGTTGGGAAGCAAAGATGTTGATGTCTGTGGATGTGTAGTGAGGGAGCATGGCTGGGAGGGGATCACCGGTGGGGAAGGGGGTGGGAACTGCTCCTGCCATCCATGTTTTCCTGCCAGCAGACAGGGCAGTGCACTGGGAAAACTGCTGTACCCAGTCCCACAGTGTGTGTTTGGGGGCAGAGAGGTAATTTTTGTGTATGTGCACACACACAAACACAGCAGAGCAGCACATTTGTGTGTCATTTTACACTCATGTTTGTACCCAAGTTGCTTTTGTGGCCCCTACACCAGGTTGAAACTACATTTTAGTATTTCAGTGCTAAATAGACCTGTAAATAATATCAAGCATTAGCCAGATGAGACCAGGATATAATCAATATGATTCTTTGAGTGCTGGGAGGAGAGCAACCATATGTCTAAATAATTAGGGCCCACCATTTTTGGGACAAAAATTAGATGCTTAATTCTTTCCTATTTTATCTTTCTATCTTTATGGGTTCTTTTTAGGGAAAGTTCTGGAACTTCCTTAGTACAGTTCTGTCAAATGGCTTTGTATCTGTCTGAGGCAGAAATTAAATTGCAGAGTCATCTTGCTAAGGCTTAAAAAAGCTGGGTGAGAGATCTGGTTACTAGCCCTGGAGTTTCTCTGGTGTGGTTCCATATATCCAGTTAATTTATTGCCAGCAGACAAAACCACAAGTTTCTTCCTTGCTCCTGGTAACCTGAGCTTTGTTGCTGGATTCATTAGCTTCTGATGGTCATGGACAACATATGATCACACTAATAGCTGATTATTAATCACTGCCAGGGGCTGTAATTATATCAGCTATTAGGAAGTCAGCTAAAAGCACTGCCTTCCAACCAGCACGGAGAGCAGGGAGAAACAGTCCCTGCATCAGGGAGCAGATAATGGTTGTTGGCAACTTCATTTCCTTTTGTAGATCGATGCACTTTAGAAAAATGACTCTGAGTTTTGGCACCTTCCTGCTCCCACCCCAGTGTCCAGCCCTGTGTGCTTTGCCCTGCACTGTGGTGTGGCTTCCTGAGCCCTGCAAGAAGGATTTGGGGTTAAATCCTGCTGTTGTGCTGTCCCCTCAGAGCCACAACCAAGGAAGACCCTCTTCTCTAAGAGTCCCTGGTCCAAATCCCTGTCTGGAAAGTCCTGGATTACCCCTGTATGTCACTTTTGGGTGGCTTTTAGGATGATGAGTGTATTGTGCTAGCTGTATATCCCTGCTGAGTGTATCCACAGGGATGGAAAGCATCCCTTCCCACGCCAGCATCACGCCTTGCCAGCAGACACTTCTGCTGAGAGACTGGTTAAACTGGGAAATGCAGAGTTTTGAGCACCAGAAGTACATCTGCACTTACCCTGCTGCTCCCAGAGGTCTCCTGGGACAACATGGTGGCTGAGCAGTGTCCTGTGTGCACCAGGATGGAAATCTGGCTTGGCACATCTTAAATACCTGTGGAATTTGGGTGCAGCTGGGCAGAAGTTGCCTATATCCTTGTTGTGGGGGGATGCAGTGACTGGCACATATTTTCCTTGTGCAGGAAAGTTAAACCTTTCCTTTGCTCCTGTCGTGTCAGGTTTTGCCTAATGGGTGTTTGTTTTCACTCTCACCAGGAACCTTTGCTGAGAGGTAGCGGAGCAGCCTCAGGACATCACCATGATGGAGGATCACGCACCCGGCCAGGAAAAACACTTCTCCTCAGGTGAGCACACCCAGGAGATGGTGAAAGGACCTGCCTTGCCCACTGCTGATCTAAGCAGGGGGAGTGGGAACAGCGTGGTGGTGTGAGGGGTCCTTGGGGACAGCCAGGAGAGGGAATATGTGTGTGGAAGGATGTCGTGGATCATCTGGCTGCAGCCACAAGATGCTCCTGCATTTACAGTCGTAGGGAAATGCTGCTCTGGGATATCATTGCCCAGCACAAGCAGAATAACCCCTGGTATCCAGGCTAGGGATGATCTTACTGCTGCAGCTTTGCAACTGTGTGTTTGTGTTCACTCCTCGGTTTGCTCTAAAAACACAGCACTGCTTTTATTTGGGGTCACAGCTCAAGGGTGCTGCTTGCTGCCTGCTTTCCTCACCTGCACAGGGACCTGGGGACAACTGAACAGAGAGCTCTGGGAGCGGGGGCCATGCCAGAGTCTTCCTCCCCATATGTCAGACCTGCATTTCTCCAGAGGCCTTTCCTTTCTCATTCCACCACGCTCCACAACTGAGCTTGGAAACCCACACAGCGCTCACAAACCTGGTGGGACTCACTCCCGGCTACGCTCCATATAAACATCATCTTAATTTTCTTTTCTTGAGGTGCTTTGGACACCCCTTACATAAATGGATTGCCTCTGCCCTGGAGAGAATCCATAGCATCCATTCATCCCGGGCTCTGTAACGCACTGCAGTCCGACGGCTCCTCTCAGCTTGTTTCGCTCATCAGCTTCCCAGGGATTTTGCTTCTTCTTTCCTAAGTCAGTTTTTCCAGCTCTCATTATTTGATTTGCCTAGACCCTTTGCTCAGGGGAGACTTGTGCCTCTTGCCCTGCTCTTCCAAAAAACTTTTGCCACCACGTCTTGGCACTGATCCTGTTACACAGACGGGCTGGTTTGCAGTCGTGGGAGTGCTCAGCCTGCTCTGGGAGGGAGCTGAGGGCCCCAGGGAGGACAACAGTGACTCAGGAGTTGCACATCTTTCCTCCTTACGTTGCTAAGATCTCCTTGCCTGCTCCTGCCATGCTTTGCTGTTTCTGCCTGTCCGGTTCACCGGGCTTTTCTTTTGCTGATGGGTTTCCGCTCGTTCCTTTTGGTGATGACACTGGTGCTTTTGGTTGGCATTTTCACGCTTTGCTTGCTTTCAGTCCGGGTGGTTTTTCCTCTCCAGTCACAGTTTCTCACTGCTGTGGATCTGGGCAGTCAGAGTTGGTAACGCCCGGGCCCTAATTCATAGCCAAGGACTTGTTGTAAGTATTTGAATGTTTTCCAGGCTATCCCCTTCAGATACCAGTCGATGATGGATCGGATGAGCCTGTTTCTGAAACATCTGACGCTAAGAGCACCCCAACTACAGAAGGTGGGAGCTCTTTGACTTACTGCTTTGAAACCATGATGGATGGGGTCGTGGTAAACCTTGCCCAAAGACTCACCGTGCCGTGTCCTGGTGGGGTTTCTCAGGAGGAGCGTCTGCACTCTTGGACAAAAGCTCTTCCTTAGTCTCATCACAGTGATGGTTGCCATGCTGCAGAATGAGATAACGTGCTCTAAAGGTGGGCTGGAAGGCAAGAGAAGGTGAAGTGTTTATTACAGCTCAGGAAGTTGCTTGTGGTTTGTTTCCTGAAGATTTTTTACATGGGGACTGCAAGGTCCCGTTAGCTCAGCCGGGAGCAATCCTGTGTTTTGTGACACAGGTTTGTGTCACTGTGCTCCCCCAAGCACTGACAGCACGTCCTGTTTGCTGAGTTCCCTTTTGGAGCCAGCTGGTTTTTGCCCCCTCTGTGTTTACATGTTCATTAGTACAGTGAGATTCCTGCTGGAATGATGAGCTGGGCAGGCTCCAGACATAAAACCAAACCTCATGCTGATGGGAAGGTCGTGGTGGTAGGACTCAAGCCATGTCTGTGCTGCTCTGGAGTGTTACCTGATTGTCATGTTTGTAGAAAGAAACTCATTCTGAAGTGGTCCAGAGACTTGTTCACCATTTCAATTAGCTGCACCTTGTGTGTTCCTCTGGTGCTTTAATCACAAGGATCTGCCTTTGGAGACTCCAGGTAAAGGCATTAGCTTGCAAAATTGGTCTAAAAGAAAGGAGAGGTGGACAGAGATGCTGAGCAGTCCCAGCCCTGTCCTGCTGGAGGTGTGGGCTGTCTGATTGTCTGTGAGGTGGCTCAGGAAATCAGGATGTAAAACCTGGCTGGTGCAGGAGGGGATACTATCCAGTTGGATTGGTACTGTCACAAGGAGCAGACATCCCTGTGGTAGATGGAGCCAAGTGTCTGTCTGTCCCAGAGCTGCCCAGAGTGCTGGGATGGTTTGTGAAGGTATCCTGTGGGAGCTGCTCTGTCCTACTCCAGACCAGTGATGTCCCAGTGCAGACAGCATTGCTGTGCATGTGGCTCAGGCACCAGTGGCTGCTTTTGGCTGTGGATTTTCGGATAGAGTTCCTGGCAAAGCCTTCAGAAGCATAAGGAGTGTGCTGTGGCACGTTGTGTGGCAGAGGGGCAGCTCCTGGTGTCCCTGTGATATTGGCTTTGCTGTGTCGTGCTTGGTTGTCCCCCTCCACAGGCTCCACTGGCTGAAGGGAGGGAGTCGAGTGCTTTTCTGAGGAAAAGGGTTCTTCAGGCATGTCCTGGCCTCCCCAGGGCTTTGCCACCCAACAGCTGTGTGAAAGCTGCGTTGTTTTTCAGATGCCACAGCACCTTTAGTGGAGGAAGGAGACCACGAGGATCAGGGTGGTGTGGAACAGCACGGGGAGATCCCAGAAGGAACCACAGGTGAGGGAGACCAAGGTGCAGTTCCACCTCTTGATGCAGACAGAGCAGAGAGCTGGACTGGTTGGTGCTGTGAGATAACACCGTGAAACCTCTCGCAGGGACGCTTTGCTCCTGATGCTGCTTCTTCCTTCTCCAAATAACTCCTGGCTTACAGTTGTCCTCTTGCCTTCCCCATCCTGAGGGAAGCTCGCAGCCTTCTCTTCTCCTTCGCAGCTCTGCGTCTGACAATCTTTCTGTCTGGTGTCTCTGTGGTGGCTTTGCCTCCCACCTTCAGGCTGAGCAGATCCGGGTCGTTCCAGCCCCTCTTCCAGCAGCCCCTCATCCCGGTCTCAGGCCCTCGGTGCCATCCCGGAGCACTCTGGCTCTGCCCAGCCCTCGCGGGTGTCTTTGGAGTGGCAGGTGAAAACCAGGCCACTGCAGCAGTGCTTTTAAGGATAATGCAGAGGAAGTGAAGTGGCTAATTCAGCCTGAATGGCCTGTGGGGAATCACTGCACCTGGGCCTGGTTTTCCAGGGAGGGCTGGTGCCTTCCAGAGGCAGAGCAGGGAGTGACTGCAGCAGTGCTGGGTGGGTAGGAGAGGGCAGGAGCTGCGGGGAGGGGCAGGTCTGTGTGTGAACAGTGAGGATGTGTCCCCTGTGCCGTAGCCAGTGGCTTTTCCTGGAAGCATCAGGCAGGACCTGAGAAAGGTAGTGGGTGGAAAAGGGCTTCTGGTGATGCCAGACACTGGAACACACCCCCAGCAGTGAAATCCATCTGCATCCAGTCCCCAGGCTGCTGGTGGAGCCCTGCAGTGGGACACGGAGTGGTTCACCTGCTTGCAAGGATGTGCAGACCTTGGTGCAAGATCTGGCTGTACCAGGGAGCCAGTGTGTCCTGAACTCCTGGGAAAAAAAATACAAGGAAACAGAGAAAGTTCTAGTTTGGCTAGAGAATGTGACATGCAGGTGTAATTGTTTAAGCTGGTTTGAAAGTACTCATGGAAAAAATTGGAAAAATTCTGAGAGAGGCAAACCGTCATCGCTGTGAAGAAGACTGTGCTTCTCTGATGTTCCAGTATTCCTGAAGTGTCAGATTCATATCAGGCTTGGAATTACTGGTCTCACACAGCCTTGGCAGGGTTCATTGTGGTGAGGTGGGTAGCAGACACCAAGAAGGTGGGCTCAGGGAAGAGACATTTGTGTGAGTGCTGCTGGCTACATAAAGGGTAGGTGGGGGTAGAAGAGGGAATATAAATCCACAAGTTTCCTTGCTCCTTAACAGCCTGTTTCCTACCTGAAAGAGCTTGTACTAACCTGCCATCTGGGATGTGTGAGTTGATGGAACACTCCTCCTGTCTGGTACAGCACAGGCTGAGCAGATCTGTCCAGATCCATCATCGGTGTGGAGTGATTTCCTTTCTGATCCTGCCCTGCTCATGATACAGCAGAGATCATGCCCAATCTGATGGGCAGCATCAGAAGGGAGGTAAATAAATTCTCCAGGCACACACTTAAACTTAACTCTTGTTTTGATCGTATTTTTCCCCTTGTTCCTCTGACCTGGGAGCAGCTGAAGAGGCGGGCGTAGGAGCCACTCCCAACCTGGAGGACCACGCTGCAGGAGATGACACTCAAGGTGGGTGAATCATCTGTCCCTGGGTCCAGTTATTGCTGTCCACGTGTGCAACTGGTTGCTGGTGGCTTGGGAATTTTGTTCTGTAATGAAATGCTCTGCACTGCACGGCAGTTGTGCAGTTCTCCCTGTTCCTGACAGGGAAGGGTCATCCACGCTTGGAATGTTCAGACATACTCATTTCAGGTAACTGCAGCTTCTCATGCACCAAATTTCTCTCTCAGACAACCAAAGTCATGGTGCTTGTTTGTCCAGTTGCAAAACCAGGGCATTCTCCAGGCTGGAAAAGCTGATGGACAGAGCTGGGATGTGCCGTGACCAGGAGGAGCTGCTCACACTGAACAGAGAAGGTGTGGGCCCTGCAAGTCACACACAAGATCAGTGAATTGTTTGGTTACTGTGTCTTTCTAATGGAAAACATGTCTCAAACCTACTCACTGATGCCCTGACTTCAACATTAAGGGTTTGTTTTTCTTATCCCAGTCTTAGGGAATGTGAAGTGGCCAAGTCAGACACAGGGGCAGCAAGTTTTCAGAGCATTAATTGCGTCTGCTTAGATGAGCCAAGAATTATCTGGGATGTCTCAGCTACCTGGAAAGCCTCTCTTGACTCTGCTCAGTTCAGACTTGATGGAAAGCTTCAGGATGGGGTTTTCCCAAAACACCCAGTGCTGGCTTAATTCCAGACTTAGGGATTCAGACTCCCTGTGATGTTGCTGTCTTGCCCCCACACCACAGCCCTAATTTGGTGTGCTGTTTAAAATCTCAGTTAAACTCCATTTTCTGAGGCAGTTTTCTGCACAGCAAACAACAAACCCCTCCAGCTGGGCAGTGTCTCCTCCTCATGGCTCCATTAGTGCATTTAGACATCTGTGTCTTTTACAGAAGTAAATAGGTCTTTGCCTTCTGAGCTCAGGGCAGAATTCAGCTTGTCTTTGCTCTCCACACACAGATGAGCAATTCTGTGCACCCTGCAGTTAAAATAGAACCTGTGCTTGCCTGGCCAGTGGTTTTTGAACTGGCAGCTCTTCTGTATTTAAAGTAGTGATTCCAGTATAAAACAGAAATCAAGACTTATCAAGAATGGGGTGAAGTTCTCTCTTCTCTCTACCCTGGTTTTAGTGCTGTTTCACACCAGATTTTTTCTAAGACCTTTCTATCCTGTCCTGGGATCTTTGAGCTGTCAGATATGGAGCCATGCAGCCAGTTGGAGCTCTGACAAAACCTATATAGGTTCTTTATAAATTGTTCCATCTCTGAAAGTGGGCTTGTAATAATGTGCTGCTTCCTTTTAATGGTTCTCTTTGATTCAGAGGAAAATGTGATTATTGACACACAGAGCCTTAGGTGTCTCACTGGTACCTACCTGATGTGGGGATTTAAAAAAATACAATATTTGCAGTGCAGATGGAGCGTCTTAAAATGCTTTTGGAGTCTCAGGTGGAGAAGCATCCTCTGATTCCCAGTTTGGCATTGACCCTGCGCTGCAGATTTGCCTCAAAACCCCTGAAAAATCCTGGAACATGGAAGCACAGCTCGTGAACTGCCTGTCCACATTCCTGCACTGCTGCTCATTAGTGGTCGTGATGTTCCTTTGCAGAAGAAATGAGCCAGGTTGACCTGCTGGCTGCTGCCTGAACACTTCAAATCCCTGTGATTACAAAAGGTGTTTCTTGATGCTGTATTTCAGATATTACCTTCCAATAGGGGCCGATTGCAGCTTTCTTTTAAACCACAGTTTCCAGGGTCTCTGTGTGGTGGTTTCACTTAAACCATGATATTCTCTTAAAAAGGGGAGGACACTGATAAAAGACCAAATCGGTCTTGATTCATCTTTTCTTGTTTTGGTCTTGTTTGTTAATCTGCCAGAGCCACAGCTGTGATCTCAGGACTGCAGTGCTCTGATTTGGGCTCTTTGGTTTACCTGAGCAGTGCTCAAAAAGACCAAAGAGTCTTTGAAGCTGGGCAAATTCATAATGCAACAGGCACATTCCTGCTAGGACGGTTGACTTTAAAGCAGTTTACCTCTGTCCAGGTGAATTCTCCATTGCTCAGTGCATCTTTGCTTCAGCTGAATGAATTTCCAACAGAAAAGCTCCAGCTCGAGTGGAATATGTGACTTAACTCTGCAGTTGGGTGAAATTGTAAATGTCTGTGTCGTGCACGAGATCAGCAACAACAGAACTCCCCCTTTTACACACACACACAGCCCCCAAAAAAGAGAGAGAGAGAAAGAGATCTGTGTCTCTGGGACCTCAGGTTTGGGGTTTAAATGTCACTCAGCCCAAATAATGGCAGCAGTGCTGGAGCTCTGATGAGTCTCAGTGGGGGCACAGTCCAAAATCACTGCAACTACGTTTTTCCTCACAGTCCTTTGCTGCTCTGCTGGCTGATGAAATAAGAGTGGAGACATGGAAGTGCTCTTCTCCACGCCCATGGGCAGCAGGAATGACCTGGAGAGCAGAGCAGGGGTGGTTTGAGCTCTGAGAGGTGCTGTGTGTGCCTGAAGGGAGGAAAGAGCTGCAGGGATTTTGGGAGCCTGGGAAGGAGGGGAAGGGTCTGGCCTGTTTTGTACAGGCCCTTGAGGCAGGAAGGGGTGGGCACTGAGCGGCAAACCGATGGTCCTGTGGTGGTGTTAGATTGGAAAATGGGGATGTTCTTGGCTTCTGGAAATTTCTACAGCTGAACCAGCTCATGGAGTGCAGGTGTGAACCTGGACACCTCCAAGGCCAGGTCCAGGCAGGAATCTGATCTCCCATGCACTGTGGCTGTCACTGTTTGTGATTCCCATGGGGATCAGAGTTTCTTTAAAGGCAAAAGCCACTGTGGCAGTGAGTTGTCTGTTCAGTGGGGCGGTGTGGGACTTCTTTTATCCTCTCAGTTGACAGTAGAAATCCTCAGTCTCTCAGCATTACATGACTGTTTGACATGCCTGTGCTAATTTTTTGCCCCTGCTTCATACCCCACGTCTACAACTCCAGAGAAGCCGAGCTCTCCAAAGCTCCAGCCCGGCCCTCAGGAGCGTGTGGGAGAGGCAATAAAAGGAGAAAGCCAGCCCCCAAAGCAGGGACCTGGGGGCCTTCAGCAGCCACTCCTGTCACGTGAAACAAAGGCTCCAGCAGCAGCTCCCACCAGAATTGAGGTCACCATCCCAATCCCCCTGGATATGTACCAAGGCTCCAGAGCATCCGAAGGCAGCGGTGAGCTGTGGGATCATCGAGGCAGAGAAGGCATTGGTGTGGAGCCAGAGCTGGGCCGTGATGTGCTGGCAGGAGCAGGGGGCACAGGTGACCATAAGGATGGACCACCTCCTTTGTGTACCAAAGCCCCATTAAAGGAAGATTCCAGTGGGCAGCAGAGGGATGAGGATCGTGATATTGATGAAACTTCTGAGCAGGATTTGCTGTCCCTGGTGGGTCAGCAGGTTTCACCAGGACCTGAAGCAGGCTCGTGTCCAGCAACAGCCAAGGAGACTCTTGAAGAATGTGATAGAGAAGGGTCCAAAGACGTCCCCAGAGACACCCTGAGAGAGGCACCTGTGGCTGAAACTCAGTCACAGAAAGCAGGAGAGGACCAAGAGGAGAAGCAGCAGCCACTGAGGGGTGAAGGAGGTACAGACATCACCCCATCAGAGCCTCCTGAAACCATCTCCCAGAAAGAAGCTGAGCCCGGGGAGGGAGAAGATTCTGGACCCTTGCTAGAAACAGCCAAACTCCCTCCTGAGTTAAAAGGTGATGTGGAAGACAAAGCTGCTGAGGTTGTGCCAGACACAGGAGAGTGTCAGACGCCCCAGAAGCAGCCCTGTGCCCCGGCTGCAGACAAAGCCAGCCGTGTCCCTCTCCTCAAAGGTGTGTGCTCCGTTCACTGCCCTCGGCTCACCGGTGGCTTGCTCCCAGCAAGGCTGCCTGATGCAGCACCACAGCTTGCTGCCACCTCGAGTCCTGCTGCTTGGACTTGGCCTGGATCTGCGCTGTGAACTGATCTCCAACGCGCCGCTGCTGCTCCCTCCCGGTCCTTCCCTCCCTGTTTAATCCCGGGTTGGATTCCCAGACCCTTGCGCTGCCGTTTTGCGTCCCTTGCATGGTGCTGGCGTGTCCCCAGTCGTGCTTTTTTTTCACCTGTTTTTAGTTTGATTTCCTTGGATCTGTTGGGTGGGCGCCTTGACTCCCACCTGGCACCTTCCCAGAGGAGAGGAGGACCGGATGGACGTGGTTCTGGCCTGTTGGAGCGGGGCTGACCTGGCGCGCGCTGCGGCTCATCCCGGCAGGACACGTCCCATCTGGTTTGCATGTCTGGTCCAATAACTCTTGGAATTGGCTTTCCTAAAGAGGAGGGAGGAGGAAAAAGGCAAGGGTGGCAGGTCTAACCATGGAGAAGCCCCGCACTGATCCTGTTTCTTATACTTTCCCCTTCAATATCCACTGCTGAGTGCTGCTGCAGGCAGGGTCTGCGGCCAGCTGGGCCTTTCCCCACTGCCAGGCATGTCCATTGCTCTTCCAAAGCATCCTGCTCCAATCCCAGCTCTGGATGGGATGTCCCTGGGCGTTCCAGAGCATTTGGGGGGTTCAGTGGGAGCTTCCTGTGGGCGGGGAGGCATCTAACAGTCTGTGGGGCAGGGCTGGGCTGTTTTGGGGGAAGGTCTGATTTCGCCGCTGAATGCACGAGCATCCCTTAGACCTCTCCTTTCTCCAAGGCTGTTTTCCACCCCTCCCGAGGCTCAGGAATGTCACTAGAGGCCCTGCTCAGTGTCCAGATGAAGCTTTTGTCATGAGTTGTGTTAACACAGCAGGACACACGTTGCTGTCTCACAGTGTTGTACCTCAGCTCTGGCTGCCCAGGGTCTATCCTGGGGGAGGCTCTGCTTCTCCCTGCAGTTCCACATCCCAAAAGCTGGTTTGGCTGCCTCCATTATCCTAGGAATGCTGCTCTGGTTTGCAGCAGGCAGAACGTGCTCTTTGCTGCGTGGGGCTCATGAAGAAATTGTTGATGGAGCTTTTTCCATTGGAGCTAAAGCTCATAACATATTTCTCGTTGTTCCCTATGGAATCAGCAGTGGGAAGCTTCCCACGTGTGCTGCAGGGCACTGGCATGGCTTGCACGGGAGCCTGGAATGATGGTGGGGTGGGGATGCATTGCCCAGAGCCAGCCAGCTTCTGATTCAGTAGGAGAAATTCAATTATTTAATGGTCTTTCCCTTCAAAACAGATACTCCATGGCTATTCAGCTCCAGCCTTGATCCAATTTGCAGTTTAACTGAATTTGGGATGGGTCAGTGTTGGATTAACAGCATGGTCCACGTCCCCAGGAAAGGGCTGACCCCCCAGGACAAGTTTCCAAACACTGGGAACAATATCAGCAGCTTTTCCTCCCAGACTGGGGAGGAATTAGCTGAAGACAGGGGAAAAGGGCTCTGTTACAAGTGCCTTGTACTACAAACAGTACTTCCTCCCCATTTTTAATCTCCTAATTAGACTGACCCAGGTGGAAGGGGCACTGTGCTAGGAGGCAGAGAGCAGTGTGTCAGGAGAGATGGGAATTAACAACATCCAGGGATAAAAGTGCTCTGCAAAGCCAGCACACTGAACAGCCACCTTAAATGAGGTCATGGTGCTGCTGGATTGGGGCATCCTTTGGTTTGAGTCTTTATTTATATACTTGCTAGAACCAGTGGGGGTTTTAGAGAGGGAGACTCGTTGAAGGGACCTTTCTGTCCTAAACTGGTCGGATCCTGCTGGATCTGAGTGCAGATCTGGGCAAAATGCTCTCATAGAAACCTCGTCGGTGTGTCTCGTCTCAGTGATGACTAACATGGATCATCTGTTAACCCAGAAAGAATGTGTTTACCATGGGGAAGTATTTCTGCAGGAAATGGTGACTTGGTAATATATTTCTAAGAACAGAGTTTAGTTTAAGGGTGAGCAGGGAACAGGGAACAGCCCCCAGCAGGTGTGTTGTCCTCTCTCTGGAGTTCCTGACCAGTCCCAAGAGGTGTAACTGTGTGTTTCCCTTTGTCAGGTCGTGTTGACAAGGAAGGGACCGAAGCTGATGAAAAGAAACCCAAGGTGAGCTAAAAAATAAAGCCAGAGGTGACACCTGTGCATGTTCCTGGCTCCTCTCCTGCTCTCCTGGCCTGCAGTTGTGTCTCTTAGGAAACCTTTCTCATTCCCTTCCATTCTTCCATTTGTTTTTCAACAGTGTTTTTATTTTTTCTTCCCTCACCCTGGTTTGGATGGTGCAATCCATGGGGTTCTTTGAGGGTGAGGAAATGATCCAAACCTAAATCAAACATGTGGCTCACAGGGTTGGGTGTGGGGTTGGAGAAATCATTTTCTCAGCCCAGCACTGGAAAGCAGCAGCTGCCTTTGGGGCAGACTCAGGACTGCACTGGGTGTACTGGGGACGAGCAGCATGACAGTGAAAAGAGCAAAACATGTAATTAAAACATTAAATTAAATAATCTAGGCCTTGCAGATCATAGAATATCCTGAGTTGGAAGGGATCCACAGGGATCATCAGCAGAGTTTGAAATTCCAGAGGTTTAACGGTATCTGTCACACTGGTAGTTTGGAGGAGGTTTAGTTCATCTGGCCATTAGCTTGGTTAGTGCCTGAGGGGGATGATGGACAAGCTGAGGGGCAATTTAAGGGGTAAAAAACTGAAGGTGAGGAATAGAATTATTTGCAAGCACTGTGAAATTGGGTTTTTCTCTAGGGAAGTCTGGCAGGGTTGTATCAGGCTGAGCATTAGACGTGGTACCAAGCCTAGATAAAACCAGTGCTCTGTTTTTGGCAGAGCAGGTGGGACGGGGTTGAGAGAGCTGGGAGCAGCCACCTGCATCTCTCAGAAATGGGTGTTGGTAGTGCTGTTCCTTTGCCAGGAAGGAGGAGGGTTTGGGAGCGAATTGAGGGTTCTGATGGTGAAATGTGCCCCTGGTGTGGAAGGCAGAAGCAAGGACAGGCTGTCACAGGGTGACACTGTCCCCAGGAAGGGGCTCGGGTGTCACTGCACCCTGTGGAAGGAATAGCTGGGGTATCCCATACTTGGTGGAGGAGCCATGGGCCCTGGCAGTGCCACCTAACACCTATCCCCCACCCAGCTCTGCATTGCACCTTCTAATCCTACTTTATGTTGCTGATCCCATTTTGTTTCCCTCCCATGCTGATTTTTTTTTTCGTTTGTTCCCATTTTATTTTGTTTCCACGTTTAAGAAATCCTCACCTTCCACTGCCAAACCCCCAGGGGACAGACCCTCCATCCCCCCCCACCGACACACCTCCTCTAGCACAACCCCTTCGAAACCACCCTCCAGCCCTGCTCCTGCCTCTAAGCGAGTCCCTCCTGCCACACCCCGAGCTGCCAGTACAGGAACGCCAGAAATGAAAGCCAAGGTAAGGAAATGGGGTGTGAGAGAGGCAAAGGGGAATACCTGAAAGCATTCCTGAGTGATGGTCTGTGGAGAGGGCAGGATGTGCCTCACCTTCCCATGGCCACGGCCAGGTTTGGCTCCAGTTTTGGTGCTGGAAGGAACCAGCACGGGGAGCAAAAATAGCTCTCGATGCAGGGTGTTATCTGGTCTCCCTGAGGCATTTCCAGGTCCTTTTAGGCTCTTCCTTGTTTTGCAGCTTTATCTGTGTTTCATGGGAGCGTTGGCAGCAAACAGCAAGATGTGTTTGCAGTGTGCCACAGCCAGACCTGCCAGGTGCTGCTGTAGGAAATGCACACACACCCAGCTCTGGGTTCCCTTTGCTGTGTTCACTCACACAAATACACCTGTGCTGAGGGAAAGCACAGGGATTGCAGGTCACACAGGATCAGAGCATCACGGGATGGTTTGGGTTGGAAGGGATCTTAAATCCCATCCAGTCCCACCCCTGCCATGGGCAGGGACACCTTCCACCAGCCCAGGTTGCTCCAAGCCCCGTCCAACCTGGCCTTGGACACTTCCAGGGATGGGGCAGCCACAGCTCCTCTGGGCAACCTGTGCCTCTCACAGATGATGGGATGTGGTTTTACTGGTTCTGCTCTGCTTCCCTGCTGCCTTGGGACCAGTCAGCCTGTAAATTTTTGAGTTCCATGTTTTCCATGAGCTTTTACACTGACCAGCACTAAGTAGTCACCAGAAAGAGGATGTGTGAGTTCAGAGGTTTGGGAAGGATTTCTGCAGGACCAGGAGACCATAGATAGGATATTGCAGTTCACCTGACGTTACAGGTGATGCAGGTGTGACAGTGGTGTACTGTAGGTGGGGATATCTGAGGTGCTTCCCAGTGTTTGAAGCCCGGCACTCGACTCCTGGATAAATTTATCTTCTGTGTGAAATTGTAGCAGAACAGGGGAAACAAAGTGATGAAATTTAGAGAACAAAGGAGTTGAGCATACTCTTGAATTTTCATGTATCTTCTGTAACAATTTTAGCAGAGCAGGGGAAACAAAGTGACGAGATTTAGAGAACAAAGGAGCTGAACATACTCTTGAATTTATGTATCTTCTGTAACAATTTTAGCAGGGCAGGGGAAATGAAGTGAGGAAGTCAGAGAACAGAGGGATTTTGCACACCAGACTAGGGGTGGTGAATGGGGCAGCTGAAGCCAAGGGCTCACCTGGGAAAGGTCACAGTCACTCCACCAGCCCAGGAGTGGCTGTGCCCTGTTGTGGCTGTGCCCTGTTGTGGCTGTGCCCTGGCTGTGCCCTGCTTGTGGCTGTGCCCTGCTTGTGGCTGTGCCCTGGCTGTGGCTGTGCCCAGGCTGTGGCTGTGCCCTGTTGTGGCTGTGCCCTGTTGTGGCTGTGCTCTCCTTGTGGCTGTGCCCAGGCTGTGGCTGTGCCCTGTTGTGGCTGTGCCCTGTTGTGGCTGTGCNGTTGTGGCTGTGCCCTGTTGTGGCTGTGCTCTCCTTGTGGCTGTGCCCAGGCTGTGGCTGTGCCCTGTTGTGGCTGTGCCCTGTTGTGGCTGTGCCCTGGCTGTGGCTGTGCTCTCCTTGTGGCTGTGCCCAGGCTGTGGCTGTGCCCAAGCTGTGGCTGTGCCCAGGCTGTGGCTGTGCCCAAGCTGTGGCTGTGCCCTGGCTGTGCCCAAGCTCTGGCTGTGCCCTGGCTGTGGCTGTGCCCAGTTGTGGCTGTGCCCTGTTGTGGCTGTGCCCAAGCTGTGGCTGTGCTCTCCTTGTGGCTGTGCCCTGCTTGTGGCTGTGCCCAGGCTGTGGCTGTGCCCAGGCTGTGGCTGTGCCCAAGCTGTGGCTGTGCCCAGGCTGTGGCTGTGCCCTGTAGTGGCTGTGCCCAAGCTGTGGCTGTGCCCTGTTGTGGCTGTGCCCTGTAGTGGCTGTGCTCTCCTTGTGGCAGGCGCTGTTGTGGGAGACAAGGTGTGAACCGGCACTTTCCAGGTGTGGGGAACCCTTGGGCTGCCAGGGTGTAGGAAGCAGGGGGAAGCAGGGGGGTCTCCTGTGCTCTGACCCGTGAGGGGTGACAACCCATCCCTGACAGACCCCCCTTGTGTCCCCAGGGCCCGGAGATGAGGGGTGGCACGAAGACGGGCACGCCGCGCTCGGGGCAGGCGCAGAGGAACTCCACCAACGCCACGCGCATCCCGGCAAAGACCCCCACGGCCCCCAAGACCCCTCCCAGCTCCGGTAGGTGACGGTGGGAGCCGTGTCCTGCTCCCTCCACCGCGGTGGGGATGCCCTCAGTGGCGCTCCCAAGTTCCCCGGGCAGCTCTGGGGGGTTAGTGGCCAAACTCACAGCCCCGGGCAGGGGCACGGCACAGGCTGAGCTCTGCCAGGGGGGTGGGAGCTGCTCAGCCCTCTCCTGGAGCTGGGATGAGCCCTCTGGAGTGAGCCTTTCCAGGTGCTGCTCTGTCCACACATGTGTAGGAGAGGGCAGTTGCTTTATCCCTTTGGGATACCCTCCAATTTGGAGGGTTTAGGCAGCTCCTTTTTAATCCATCTACTCCTTTTCTCTCTGACAATATTTCACAAACACCCAGGGGCAAGAGGATCAATTCTTCGATTGCAGGAATGGAGATTAGCCCATTATTATTCTCAGAGAAGAAAACCCCAGAAAGCATCAGGCATTGTGAATTTCCATTAAAACGGTGCATTTCACTGAATATACATATATATATTTCAAACTTAACTGGAGCTCCATAAAACCTTAAATCAATTAATTTTCCAGCTTTATTATGTTTAAGCATCTTTCTCATTCACTAAACAGGCAGAAAGGAGCAGAAAAAACCACCTCCTGCAGCAGCAAAGACTGAGAAAGGTGACGTTTAAGGGTTTTCTTTTCTTCTTTCATTTTCTTTTTGAACTGGGGACAGTTCTAAGCTGCTCAGCAACCAGCCTTATTTAATTACAGAGAAAAAAATATGTAAAAATGCTTCCAAAATTCTAATAGAAATGTGTTTTTGAGTGTCTTTTGTCTGTAATTCGTCATGCATGCCAATGCCACACTTGGGTGGGGAGTTTTACCAGTGACCCAGGCAGTGGAGACCGTCTTCCTTCTGAGATATTAGGAAATTGCCTTTAAATCACAGTTTTTCCTTCAAAATGGAGTAGAAGAAAGCGCAGCCGTGCACTGGGAGTAGCGGGGTGGGCTCTGGGACCGGGGACATGGACCCCAAAAAGGCAGGGAGCGAGCAGGGAAGGGGTGGTGTGTGCCCGGGTTGCCCACCCGCGCTCACTCCCTGTCTGCAACCTCCAGGTGAGCAGCCAAAGTCTGGAGACAGAAGCGGTTACAGCAGTCCCGGCTCCCCCGGGACTCCAGGCAGCCGTTCCCGCACCCCCTCTCTGCCCACCCCACCAGCCAGGGAGCCCAAGAAGGTGGCAGTGGTTCGCACCCCACCGAAATCTCCGGCGTCTGCCAAGACCCGCATCCAGCCCTCGGCCGCGCCCATGCCCGACCTGAAAAACGTCAAGTCCAAAATCGGCTCCACTGAAAACCTGAAGCACCAGCCCGGAGGTGGCAAGGTAAACGTGGGCTCTGCTTCCCCAGGGGCCTGGCTGTGGGGGCAGCGGGTGCTGGGTGCTCCCTCCGGGATGGGAGAGCCTCCCTGGAGCGGCAGCAGCTCTGGGCAGTGGGCAGCCAGACTTCAGCTGGGCTCCAGCCTGGTGCTGGGTTTTGGGTTGACTGGGTTGGGGGCTTGGCCTGGAATTCCTTGCCTGGCTTAGTAAAGCTCAGCTGTCCCACGGAGAGCTCGTGGTGTGAGTCTCGTGGAGTGGCTTCCAGGGAAATGGCATTCCCTCGTGGTGTCCAGTCAGGGACAGATTGTCCCTAGTTAGGGACAGATTGTCCAGTTCGGGACAGATTGTCCAGTTAGGGACAGCAGGTTGTGGCCTGCAGCCCTCAGGAGTGGTGGGATCAGGGCTGTGTTATGGATCCTACACTGTGACTGGAGCAGTCTCTCTGTTAGTGAGCAGGAGGATGGTCTGTCTCCTCCTCCTGAGGGGCTCAGGCTTGGACCCCAAGTTTTTCCAGACACTGGGATTTTGGATCCAACTCTGTTGTCAAGGGTTTGGGTTGTGTTCTGCCATCAGGTGCTGTGTGGCTACATGGGCAGTGTGGCATGGCCAGAACTGGTGGCACTTTTATCCTTTCAACCACTTTTCACTCCCAGAGAAGCTGTTTCACGAGCAGCAAAGTGACCTCTGTGTTCCAGGTGGTTGGGAATGAGGGTCTTGGGTTAAATTCTGCAAGCCTGGCAAGGGACACTGCCTGCTCTGGGGGTGACACTGCCTATTTTGAGGGGACACTGCCTGCCCTGGGAGTGACACTGCCTGTCCCAGGGGTGACACTGCCTATCCTGAGGGGACACTGCCTGTCCCAGGGGTGACACTGCCTGCCCTGGGGTGACACTGCCTGCCCTGGGGTGACACTGCCTGGCTTGCAGGCCTTGCAGAGCCATAATCATTCCTTGAGTGCTGTGCATGGCATTTTGTGTGACCTCCATGGCTCTGAACGTTCGCCTCTGGCACAGGGGGGAGGCTCTGGGATGGCTCCTCTGCACCCCTGGAAATGGCAGCCTGCTTTTCCATGGCCTTCCGGGCATTTTCTGCCGTGGCTGGAGATTTACTGGCTTTGTGCTACAATCCAGTGGGGCTCTGGAGCCTGGGCAGGGCCGTTGGTCATGGGCAGAGCAGCACGTGTGTCCTTTTTGGGGCCTCAACCCTCCTGCCCACTTAGCACAAGTCATGGGATTTTCCTCCCACCCCCACAAACCCCGTTCTCCTGGGATTTTAGAAGGAACCCTTCTGTTTACTGGAAATTGGTTAAATTATTCACTCGTTCTTTATAATCCAGCTTTTACAAGTTGGTTTTTTTTTTTCTCTCTCTGCTTCTCTGTCAGGCTTGTTTGTTGTTGTTACTGAAGAGTGGGAGCAGCTGAATTTGGGACAATTCCTTGCTCTTTGCAGGGGAGAAGGGCTGGGTGCTCTGTTGGGGGTTCTCTAGGACACGAGGCTGCTCTCAGCAGAATGATTGCAGCTGGAGCAGAAGGGGCTGATCCCACCAGTTTGATTTGAGGCTGAAATCAGAAATGGTTTTGGAGCCTGCTCTCTGTGCAGATTCCAGACCCCCAGCCTAGGGAAGCAAAGGAGCAAAGGGAAAAACACACCAGGAGCCAGCCAAGCCACATCTCTTCCAGTGTTTCTGCATGGTCTGAGCACTTTTGTTGTCACTGGATCACCGAGTGCTGCTCTGGCAAAGCCTGGTCTAGCAGAACTGGGTCGTGGTTTGTGGGATTAGTTGATGTGAATCTGGAAAATCATGCTTCAGGCACATACCAGCCTTGGTGCTTCTCATGCTGGAGAAGCAGGGAATAGCAGGGAGCTCTCCTGGCAGCAGCAGGCCTGGGATGGAGTGTTGGGATGGAGATGAGGTGCCTGCTCGGCTGGCTTTGGGGACGGGGCCATCCGGGGCTGAGGGATGTGACACTGCAGGATGGTCCCTCTCACGGGGTTGTGCTTCAGACAGGCTCAGGCCTGCGGGTTGTTACCTGCATTTACACCTGTGTAGGTTGTAAAGCCACTCCAGAGTGCGTGGGGGAAGGAGCAGGGACAATCTTTATCCTCGTTTTGCCCAGAATAGCTGATGCAAGGAGGTCGCTCCAGCATAGCTGCCCTTACACAGCCAAGTGGGGAGAACAAGCCCGAAACAGAACCAGCTTCATTAGCACAAAAATCCGTGTGTGGAGGGAAGGCTTTGGGGCTGGAGGGTGTAGCTGGCGTGGCACGTGGTTCCCATGTGGCACCGAGCTGTTTCCAGCCTCTCTCCCATGGGAGATGGCACTGGGAATATGTCACAGAGCTGCTGCCTCTGGGGAGTGGGCTGGGCTGCCCCTGTCATCCCACAGGGCTTAGGGAAACTGCAGGTGTGGGGCTGCCTCCCTGGCATGGGGCTGCAACCCTGGGATGGGATTGCAACCCTGGGATGGGATTGCAACCCTGGCCTAGGATTGCATCCCTGGTGTGGGCCCCATCCCTGGATGGGGCTGCATGCCTGGCACTGCATCCCTGATGTGGGACTGCATTCCTGGCTTGAGACCACATCTCTGGCCTGGAACTGCATCCTTGGGGTGGGGCCACATGCCTGGCATGGAACTGCATCCCTGGCAGTGTCTGCTTTCTCTTGGTAGCTGTAGAGGGAGTGTGAGCCCTGTGCAGAGCAGAGTTCAGGTGTCTTTTCCCAGTGCTGGACACGCAGCTCCTGCTCTCCAGCCTGGCCAGCAGCACTTGTTTGCCCAAGGTCGGGTGTGCCTGTCCCAGAGGGGGATCAGGATGCCAAGCATGGGAGCTGGGGCTGAGCAGGCAGTTTTCTCTCAGCTCCATCCCTCCTCCTTCCACATGCTCTGCACAAGCTGAGTCTCAGAGCACTGTGGAGTCTCAAGTGCCTTCCAGCGGGTTTGCTGCCCAGCAAGTTCCCCGTTCTGTTCAGTGAAAGAAAATGGGCTGAGCTCATTTCTGGCTGGTGTTTGTGGCCTGGGAACCAGGGCTGCATCACTACCCAGACGTGTCCAGTCTCTAGCTATAACCTGCCCACCTCCATCTTCAGTTTCCAGCCCACCAATCCATGCAGCAAGGCAGAGATTCTCCTTTTTGCTCTCAGCACTGAAAGGCAGGTTCCTGGTTTTAGGGATATAACACATGGTCAAGCTGCAGATGGTCACGTTGTTTCTCACGCTCTTTTCTGGCTACTAAAGGTGCAGATTATTAATAAGAAGCTGGACTTTAGCAGCGTTCAATCCAAGTGTGGCTCAAAGGATAATATCAAACACATCCCGGGCGGAGGCAGTGTGAGTACCTTCACACTTTCAATGCTCTATAATAGTTCTTATTATAAGTGGCATGTTGTGTACACTAAACTGCCAATGCTATCTGCAGCGATCCTGCCATCAGATAGCTATTGGTGACGTGCAATGACTCTTTTCTGGCTACCAAAGGTGCAGATTGTTAATAAGAAGTTGGACTTTAGCAACGTTCAATCAAGGTGTGGCTCAAAGGATAATATCAAACACATCCCGGGCGGAGGCAGTGTGAGTACCTTCACACTTTGAATGCACTGTGATAATCCTGATTTTAGTGGCATGTTGTTACACTAATCACCAATGCTATCTGCAGCCACCTTGCTGTCACATAGCCATTGGGGACGTGCTGTCATTTAACCCCATTAACCCGAAAGACATGGTGAGATGAACCCTAACAAGTCCTGGACATGCCTGCCATGGACAGAACTAACTGCCCCGTGTCCAAACCATGTCTGTAACAAAACATCCCAGTAACTCCAGGGTTTGGCACTACCTGGAAGGCTGAAAGCCTCGTTGTCTGTGGGATGGGGGCTCTGGCAGACAGTGATGTAGGAGACGAGTAAATTTATGAGCAGACCCAGTCCTCGTTGCTTAATGTGCTGCTAAATTGGACATGATCCTGCCCAACAGATGAACGTGCAGGTTCCTGCCCGTTCCCATCAGGCAAGTATGATCCATGCAAATATTAAGCTTCTCCTTGCTAACGAATGTGTCCGGCAGCGCCCACGGAGGCTGAGCCTAAAGTACTGTTGAGTTAATTGATTTGAACGCTGGCATTTCCAGCTGTTCCCAGATAAATACTGGACTCAGCTTTCAGTTACTGTGCCAGAAACCTGGAGAGACTCCACAGAGGTTGGTGGATTTACAGCAGTTTCACTGGAGACAGTTTGGGACCAGGAAAGATGACGGGCCAAGGAAGACCCCAAAGAGTGCAACCCCTGGTCTGTGGGGGCCTGGTCTGTGGCCATCTGAGGGAGCATCTCAGATGTTCCCCATGGATTTTTCATGGGCTTTCCTTGATCTCTGTGGACGCCCTCCCTGAGAAACTGAGCATTTGCAGAGGGCTTGGCACACGCTTGCAGGGACACAGCTGGGTTTGCAGCCTCTGGCTCAAATTTGGTGTCATTCTGCAGTTACTTCATGGGCCAGAGGAGCTGCTCTGCGAGCCCAGACCCCTGTGAAGCGATTCCATGGTTGTTCCTTTTCTTCACCGTGGAGTCCTGCACTGGCTGGGCTGCCTGGTGTGTGATGGGAGCTGGTGTTGGCCACAGATCCCCTGTGCTGTGGCTGCTGCTGAGCTCCAGCACAGCATGCTGTCCTCCACAGCGTCCCTTCCTCCACAGAGAGCTCACACTGTGGGCGAGTGATTGCAGCTGAACCGGGTTAAGAATTATCTGGATTTTTGGCTGGGGGTTGTGATCCCTCCCCAGGCCCTGCCAGCACTGAAAAGCCTGTGATCTGTGCCTGGCTGCAGCAGCTCTGGGAGCTCTCGGAGCAAAGCCCTGAGCTGACATGGCTGTGCAGGCTGTCCTGGGGGCAGGGATGGGCCTTGGGGCTCCTCTGGGAGAGGGGCAACAAGAGACCCCCAGGCTTTGATGGCCATTGTATCTTAAACCCCCAGGGACCACCTGCCCAGCCATCCCTGCTTCCAGGGGGAACTGTCACTACCTGAGCTGGGTATCTGGATTTTAAGCCTATGGATGCTCTGACCAGGTGATACATTAGGCAAAAAGCACTTCTAATGCTGAGGTGGGATCCCAAGGTCTCTGGCACTAGTTTCCCAGGCAAACTACTCTGTTCCCGTTTTCCTTTCTTGCTAAAGTGGGGAGAATCCTTCTCTGCTCCCAGCAGGATGGGAAGGGATAATGGAGTCCTGTCTGTCAAAAAAGGGACTGGAATGAGAGCAGAATGTTCCAATTGCTGATTGTTTGCCCTGGAAATGGGAGGCCTTTCAGTCCCAGGTCTCAGTGGTGCCTGAATTGCTCGTAGGCCCTTTGGGGTCACAGCTGGGATTAGAAAGGCCCCAGCTGCCCTTTTCGGGTCCCTTTCCTGCCTTCCGACCAAATCTGGCTCCTGTCTTGTCCAGTGCATTAAACGTGTGACCTTTCCCCAACTCTGTCTCTGTGTCTGTGTCCACGATGTGCTCCAAGGCCCTGGGGGTTCATTCCCCCACTCTGTCTCCTGTCAAATGTGCCTCTTGGTCTGCGTGAGCATCGGAGACAAGGCAGGTCAGCACAGGGCTCTGTGCTGGTGGGGCCAGATCTGCTCCCGTCCTTTTCCTGGCTCTGTGATGGAGGGGGAGTGTTTCTCAGGGGTGTGACAATCCAGCACCCAGCTCTGAGGGTGATGGGGTCAACATGAGGACTGGAGGGTGCACCTTCCCCTGGGGTTTGAGTCAGCACGGGGTTCTCAGGTGTGATGGAGAGCAGTGGCTGTGGTGAATCCTCCGTGCTGGTCTGGAGGCTGCTGGGAGGGAGGAGTCAGCTCCTCTCCAAAGCTCCCTTTGGTGCTGGCACATCCTTCCTGAGATTTGTGAGAGCAGCACAAACGTGATGCTGGAGAAAACACGGAGAGCAGCACATGCTCCCCACGAAATCCAGGCTATCCCCGAGAGCCAAACACTCCCCAGTGCGTGGGAACCACCCCCGAGGTGTTGATGGTCCAGTTTCTCCCGCACAGCCCCACTAACTCCAGCAACAACTGACCCACACTCAGGCGTGGGTCCAAACCCAGGGTGTGAGGTAACTTGTGGGGTTCTGGGGATGTTTCCTCCCCCCTTGTCTCCTGCTCCTGCCGTAGCTGCCGTGTGTGTGCCGTGGTTGCCTCCCGGGGGCTCCTCCCAGCCCCCTGCGGCCGTGGCTGTTTAACTGTGGTGTTTAACTGCTAACGTAGCACTAAACCAGCCCCTCGTTGCTGTCCCTCCTGTGTGTGTGTCCCGTGTCACCCGCTGTCCGTGGGCAGAGCCCGCCGGCCCCGCGCGGTCCGTGAGCGGGGCGGGATCCCTGGGATTGCTGCAGCCCTTGTTCTGAGGCAATAACGGGACAAGCAAATCAAAACCAGAGCATAAATGTCACGAAATGCTGTTGTGCTTCGATATTTTATAACATTTTAATCTCTTATGATGTGATCTCCAGATATTTAGACTTTTCTTTGCTTTTTTATTTCTCCCCCCCCCCGTTTTTTTAACCCTTATTTCCGTTACAGCATTTTTCAGAAATGCATATTTTGGTCACTCTTTTAAAAGTTCTGTGCACATTGATCATTTCTGTTCTTTCAGTTTTTGTGGACATAAGCTTTATGTTTTACACCAGAAAAGGTATTTATTTTTTACGTTTTCTCTCTGGTATATCTCCTCCTTTTGGATGATGTGTATGCAAATCTTAATTAATTACCACTCCACTTTCTCTCTCACTTGAGCACTTTAAAATTGCCTCTACTCCCCCCTCTGTGGAGAGGTGATCTCGTGCATGCTGACATGTTAAGAGGCTACTGCACACGGGCATTAATGATCTCCCATTTCTGATGATGGTTTCTTTTGTATCATTAATCTTCCTGGGGTTTGAGCTGTCCTTTCCCTCCAATCCAGCTCAGGTGCCGCTGTGTGTTGTGCTCCCCCTCCCCAGCCAGTCCATCCTGGCAATGAGCTCATCCCTTTTTCCTCTCTCCCACGGGCAGGTTCAAATCGTTTACAAGCCAGTCGACCTGAGCCATGTGACATCCAAATGTGGTTCCCTGGGCAACATCCATCACAAACCAGGTACCCTTTGGCCTTGTGCTGATCCTGGGAGCTGGTGGGCTGTGCTGTGGTGTGTCTGGAGATGGGGAGAGGGTTGGGATAGGGCAGGGAGTGAGGGCAGGCAGGTGGAGCAGTGACTGGAGCACCAGAGTGAGCCCTGGAGTGCTGGATGCTGTTCCCAGCTCAGTCACTGCCAGACCTGCTCCTGTCTGCCCGAGTGCTCCGAGCAGGGGAGGAATCTGGTGTCATCTGAAGGACTTTTCACAAGGGCCTGGAGTGACAGGACAAGGGGGAATGGCCTTAAGTCGAAAGGGGGTAGATGTAGATTGGATATTAGGAAGAAATTCCTCCCTGGGAGGGTGGGGAGGCCCTGGCACAGGTTGCCCAGAGAAGCTGTGGCTGCCCCTGGATCCCTGGAAGTGTCCAAGGCCAGG